CAGAGGCCTGGGAGATTGAGGGTCCTGCAGAGTATCTTTTCTGTTTGTTGGTTGGTATTTTACAGGATTCACTCCCAACATGGCTGAACATGATGGCTGCACTATGTTGATTGATTGCACTAAAACTCTCTTCTCCTCATTCATGAAATTGGGGTGCACAATGCGCTGTGCTGAGACTGCATAATAAAGGGAAAGTATTTTATAAATTCAAATCTTTAATATAAAACTACCACCAGTTTGCCTCGTGTACAGGTCTGTGGCAGGGTGTTTTTTTCCAGTGTCTGTACTGAATAATGCTACTTTAAGTTCTTGATGATTTGGTGGACTGTCTGTGATTCAGAATCTGAAATGATGTTGCGCATGTTTCTCATCTATTTACTCTGGCAGGTAAAGGAGAAATATGTAATTCTTTAACTTCTTTAATGACTGAGCCTTTATCTTGGGTTTGATAACTAAACGCTCCAACCTAAAACAGGTAGAACAGATTGAAATCTCTGAGTGTTTTTTTAAGGTTGTTTTAGTTTAAAAGTAAAGTTCACATGCATATAAGTACAACCATATAACCTTCTATCTCTCTCACAGTCTGGCTCCAAATTTTTCAAATATGCTCAGAGTTTGAATGAAGCCACACAGCAGTGTGTGTGCAGAATCTGAGCGAGTGTGTGAGTGGCAATAATTACTGAATCCAACAAGTAGCTAAATCAGTCAGCCATCCAGGGGAAGAGGGAGTCAAAGTATTTTTATAGGCTGTGTCACTATTCTCAAACATCTGGGGGACACTCCCACAGGGCTTGAATCTGGGACTCTCCCTCAACTGCTCCTAGAACTGAAGAAGCTTCTCGATGAGAGGTGAAATTTCTTCAAGCAACTTAAAGAAGTCATGACTCTTTTCTTTCCAAGCTCCTTAGACTATGATGACCTGGATGACTGCAAGCCTTCACAGACATATTGCTGTGTACTTTGCAAGGAACACCCTTCAAAATTGGTGTAGGAGTATGAAAACCTCCTAAAAATCCTCTCAGGGGCTCAGCCTCGAAATATCAGCAAGGAGTCCAGATTAGGAGGTTCAGGATCATGAACAGAGTAGAAGGCTGTTATGGAGGCAGATTAATGGGTTATTGACCCATGTGGTCGTTTGGTGTCTAAAGTGATCTGGGCTGTTTAAAACAGGAAGTGAGTGGCAGACAGCAGCTTAAGCCTCAGCAGAAGGGGAGGAGTCAGAGGGAAACTCAGAATGTCTTCAGAAGAAAAGCTGTCAGGAGGTCAGACTTTATGTCAGGAAGTGTTCCACACTTTAAGTGAGCTCTCTGTGTGGAAAAGCAAACTGGGTCTTTCCTTAGGACTTCTTCCTGAAACAGACTTAAGATGTGAGCTGTGACTGCTCACACTACAGTCTGTTGGTTGATTCTTTGATGAGAATCAAGCAGCAACACAAGTGGATTATATGATCCATCAAGGAAATGTGACCTTAATAGCCTGACTACAATCAAACACATCACAACAAACATTACTATCATTTTATTTTTAAAGGAATGACAGGAAATAGCAGCACACTGTTGTGTTGCTTTCTTGGAGAGATGAGTTTCCTTCCAGGAAATAAAAACACACACAGCTTGTTTCGTGAAGAAAAAACATTAGCCATTCATCAAACAGTTTGATTCCAGCTGATCAGTAATCATGTGGATTTGTCTTCAAACACAAGAGTGATCAAAGTTTGTCCTGAAATAAGAGCTGAACATCTGGTCCAAACATCACAGAAACAAACAGTCAAACTGTTAAAGGAGGAAACAAAGCAAACTTACAGTTTCTTCGAACACACACACCAACAACAAGCTCCACTCCACACCTGTACACTAAACACGGACACACAGGTGAGCTGCTTCCTGGAAGGAGGCAGCAGGACAGGTGGGAGGGGCTCAGCAGGAGCAGTCGAGTTCATTTGACTGGACACTGGAACATTTTCACTTTCACTTAGATTACATTTGCATTTGATGTCCCCATGTGTGTCTGTGTTCAGATGTGACTGATTTCTTCTTTTTGACTTTCCTGTTGAATGTTCATCTCTACTACAGACCTTTTTGTCACACACACGATATCATCTTCACTGATTTGACTTTTAGACCTCAGAGATTGTTTTTCTGCTCACACGTAAAAACAAAGTTTGAACAGATCGTAATGAACAGAGGTTATTTTTACTTCTTTGCAACATATATAAACTATAATCCATAATCACATTCTTTAACTACAATAAGTCATCCATGAACATGTTTCATGTTTCATGGAAACATGAAACATGTTCATGGAAACATGAAACATGTTCATGGAAACATGAAACATGTTTCATGTTTCCATGAACATGTTTCATGTTTCATGGAAACATGAAACATGTTCCTTTGGTGAAGACAAATCAAATTAGTCCTATTTCAGTCATATTTTCAATGATGTTGATCATTGTACAGACTTTACTGAATGTGTAATAAAATGTATTTGTATTTTTTTTAATTCACTGTTCCTTCAAACTACTCAGACTGATTAAGAGTAAAGTTCCCTTTTTGACATGAAACCTTGTTGCATCTGCAGAGTGAACACACTGATCCCAGATTAGCTCTGACCTTCAC